AGACTAGTGGCTCAAGATGTTCTTAACTCATGGCCATTAAAACTAATATGTCTCCCCGATTCATATATACTTAATGTATAACTGTTTGGGGGTATGAACCTAAAACTGTAGGGTATACACCAGAAAACTGTAGGGTTCACCTATGATTAAAGCTTAAATGGTGAACTAAAAATAGCAGACTAAACGTGCTTAAATTCAGGCTACCGCGACTAAAGTTTATGCATAAGTCCAACTTAAATAGGAACTAATATAATTCCATCTCAAAGTATGCATTGCTAAAGGCATAATAAAATTGCATAATTTAAAAACATAATATTATGCGGTGGACAAATATGCATAAAATTAAGCATTAAACTCATATATTCCAAATAAATTGCATAACTTAAAGCAATTTACAATATGAGATTTCAAAGTATAAATTTAATATTCAAACACCAATGAGTCCAAACCAAAAGAGACCCAACATTTTGAATAATAATGTACTGAATATATACTTTAAAATTTTTAAACTGTAAGCCCATGGTAAAATGTTTTAATGCATAAAGATCAAATTTATGAGAAATAACTAAATTTACAAATTCAAACAATATCAAACCAAAAGGATATGCTAGCAACTGTAAATTAAAATCTCATAAACCCTAATTGCATAATTAAACTTAATATTATGCACTTAATGTGATCGAATGCATAAAACAATCTAAAGTGTATGAACCAACTAAAAAAATATGAATTTAAACCAAATATTCATTTATTCATACTTAACCAAATATGGACAGTCATAATTCAAAGAACTAAATGAATTATGGAATTAATGGCAAAAGTAAATTGCCTAGAAAATATGTTTTTCCAACATTACTAAATTGATTCAAAATCACTCTCTATAACCCAGTTAATAATATTATTATTATTAATGGCAAAATTGCAAACAATCAGAATAACAATAAATTGCCATAATAATATTATCACATTAGGTAGGAGACTAAATATGGAAAAACAATGGTTAAAACCGCTAACATTTATAACCGTTTTTGGATAAAATTTTGAAAATTTAATAAAATTTGAAGTCCGAAAAACATTAATGTCAAGAAAATTATTTTATGTACTGGAATATTGTCACATAAATTTATTTGGAAACAGTTTAAGATACATATCTGAATACCATAACAATATTAATGTTATCATTAATTAATTATTAATAGCAATAAGTAACATTATAATCACTACTACCATTAGTAATGACAAACTAAAGTATGATAATGCACTTTTAATGTTTTCATTTTTCTAAAGATAAAATAAGTGACTAGTCCAAATTAGCGGTTAACCGTAACTGTAGCACTAATTATCAATAACAACCATAAAAGATAATTAATGGCTAACCTTAATGATGCAAATTGCATCTCTCCATTGCGCTAACAATGATGATGATCCGAAGAAAAACTCCAGAATTCTTCCATCTTCACTGTCGGTGTCAGTAGCCTCGATGCAGCGTCCAATGGTACATTTAAAAAATTTATTGGTAGGACTTAATTACCAACATTAATAGTCATGTAAAAATGAGTAGTAATCATACCAATGTACCAAATATAGCAGATTACCATTAAATGATAATTATTATGAAAAGTAATAAAATGAGATTAGCCCCTAAACTTAATAACAGTAATTAATAATGCTAACTAATAATAATTACAATAAAGGCAAAACTGTAATTAAGGGATGCCAAATACTAATCTCAATTTTACCACAGAATAATTAACCATGACTATTATGATACTTAGGGAGACTAAAGTTAAGGTAATAACCAAATTACCATTATATAGACAATATACCAACTATATTGCTTTTGCCATAAAATTAAAGACTTAATATTATTATTAAGGCCCTGAAAAACTATTGATAGATTAAAAATTAATCAACTTAAACAATAGTTATAGTTCTTAATGACCAAAATAACAATTAAATCCTTAATATCTCTAAACAGGCCAAAAATAATAATTATAGCACTTAATCACTCAAATTAGGCACATAAACCTCAATGACCCAAGTGAATTATAACATGAATGAAAAATGGTCTAATACTGAAGTAGACCCAAAACTTAATATTATTACAAACGATGAATACCACAATATGGTAGTTAGTAATAATTAAAACTTAATAAACATGTTATAAACTCAAAAGGAGCTATAATTATTATTAAAATATCAATCAAAATGGTGGGATCCATACTTTAATGACCCAAGATAGGTCCCAAATAACTTGTTCAAAATAGGTTCTAAAGTTTTTGAGACACATAAACTAAAATGTGCTCAAAATTAAAATTAAGGAGAAACCAAACAAGCTGCTTTAGTAGGTCCCTAAAATTGACCTAAGGACCCAAAATTGAATGATATTTAATAATGAATTTATGAATTAATAATATGCTATATCCAACCTTAACGCATGCTTTTATAATGTATAATAATAATAATAATAATAAAATAATTATTTAATAAATATACGTTGCATGCTTGGATTTGCATATTAATGTATTATTAACCCATATATCCTAAGTAAATTGCAATACTTAAAGCAATTTAACATAAACCTCAACATTAAATTAAAATTCAAATAGCAAATTCAATACTTAATATTTGCTCAAAATTGAAAGATAATTTAATAATAAATTAATGAGGAATTAAATTGAACAATTAAGCTAGAAGAAGTCTAAATATGATGATGGAAAACACTAAAGCAAGCCCAATAACTAAAGTAGGCCCAAGATTTATTTTTTTATGGATTAGGTCTGGCCGAATGGGCCAGACCCGGCCCAAAAACTAAATCCATCATCATCATCTTCTTCAATCAGCCAACAGCCTGCGAACCAGCGCTACTCAGAGCTTGAGGAGCAGCGACCGGAGCCTGAAGGAGAAACAACGATGGCCGGAGCTAACGCCGCATGGAGGGAGACAGCAGCGACAAGCCGGGAACCCCCAGCCCACCCCCGCCGTATCTTTCTCTGCGCGACGCCAACAACCACCGCCCTGCAGCGCTCGACGTTCCTTCGCGTCGTGCGTTCATCACCGTTGGTCTACTGAGGTCACCGGAAACCCACACCATTGACGGAAACCGAAAGGAAAGAACGACGAAAAGAAAAAAAAAAACTGTTTTTTTTTTAAGACTTCCGTCGTTTCTCCGCCGTCATCTGGGCACATTCTTAATGCTGAAATTTAATTTCAGCCATCCAAAGGAAACATTGTGCTTGATGTGGGTTTAAATTCCAGATGGTTTCACTAGTTCAGAAAAATCACAACAAATAATTCCAAAAACCAAAAGGAATTAAAATTGTGCTTAATGCCAAAAATTATTATTATTATTATTTTAGCAATCCAAAATATAATTAACTTAATATTGTTTTAGGCAAAACAATCAACCAGGCAGAGATTATAAACAGGCTCTGAAACCAAATGTTAGATATACAATAGTCTAACTATATGAACCATAGTATACGAGAAACCTAACCTCGTATGATAGCGGAAGCGTAGTCGTGTTGATCTCCAGCGATAGTTGATGTTCCTATTGTGTTGCCTCTTAACGGTAGACCGTCAGCCATGTTTTGTCTCAGACCTGACTCAGAACCCTAGATGGCGTATTGGTATCTACTGAGCGGTCTGAGTACCGTAACTGAATGTGCTATCTAATCCATAATCCTGTATCCCATCAATCCAGGTTTATATTAGGCACAGAGTTTGGTTGACTAACAACTACTAGTTATTAAGTCCAACCAGACCACTTAATAAGCCTAGTCAACTTGCACCACTTAATTAAGGCCCTAATATATAATATACAATATATATTATAAGGGAAAATCTTAATACTGTTGGTTGAAAGGATGTTGAAGAAATGTGGTCATACTTCCAGAAAAACAGAGAGGAAAGGTGCTGGAGACGCCACGAAGGGGCATACCATGAACTGAAATTGCGAGATTAGGGTAGACCACGAACTGAAATTGCGAGGTCGGGAGACCGACCCGGACGAAGAACATGAACCTTTTGTTCAATCTCCACAAACGGTGCCAAAATGATATGAGTAATTCCCGTGTATATAGAATGTACGGATTGTATAAACCAATGTTGAAAAAATCGTTAGGCACCCTCTAGGCGCCTGAGGACCGCCTAGGGTGCCTAGAGCGCCTAGGCGCGATTTTTGCAACACTGGTATAAACTATAGTATATATATGAATAATGTAGAGAATAGACCAGAGGAAGTAGCTCAAAGAGATCTTTTATTCATAAGTGTTCTTGTATTTTCTAGAGAGAAGGGAGAGTACTTTCTAAGTGTAAAGAGAGAGAGGAAGCCCTTAAAATGGAGGGCTAAGGCCCATTTTATAGGTTCAAGCGAGACGAGTTTGACTTTGACCCGTGGACCAAGACCCGAACCGTTTGACCCCGACCCATAAACAGGAGCACGGAGCGTACGAGGAGCCTGAATTCGGAATATATTCCCTATCAAGACAGAAAAGCCGCAGGACACGAAACTAGAAAAGTGTATAGACCACTGGAACTGCCTCATTTCATTACAACTTGTTGAAACATTACTACTTTCAAAACTTTGTAACACATTTCACATGGTATGAATTATATGATCGAAGTTTGTATTAAAAACATTACAAAACATTTTAAATGGTATGAATTATATGATCGAAGGCAAGGTGGCAACAATTCTGCATGCATGCATTCACGGATGAAAAATATATATACATATGACACATGGCTACATCCAAGCTATCCTCGTAAGTATACTCATGCATGCACAACAAACAAACTCCCTAGTTTACTATAGTTAAAACTAAAAAAAAAAAATAAAAAAAAAAATAACAGAACTCAAAATAATGCAATATAATTCTCCGTGGGAATCAGTGAATTCTCCATCATTATCCCTATTTGAGTAATCACCAACTATGCCTAACTTTTTTGTCTTGTGGCATTGTTTGGTTGCTATAAATGGGATACATACTGCTTCTAGTCATCATACGACATACTACTTATTGAAGCATATCCCCTCTAGCTAAGAAGTGAAGATTGAAGGTTCCATCCATGGCTACTACCAAACTCGGCTTTGTCACTCTCCTCCTCCTCTGCGGTAAATATATGTCCTCTAGCTAGCTTGTTACTTCCATGGTAATCTTTAATGATTAATACGGTTAGGATCAAGCATTGTCAAAGTTATACCAAGCAAGTAGTGAAAGTTAAATTTCATTTCTTAATATTCCGTTGTCAGGAGCGAATTCATGAACTTTTCTGAGAATAAAGTTTAAATGAACATATGGTACCGAACAATCTACTAAACTACCTAAACATCTAGTAATTAACTTATATATACATTTTGCTCATCTAGTAATTTATATATACATTTTGTTTTTTACATATAAGTTGCTGTTATATATGTATATATATGTATACATACATATATAAGGGTAGGGGAGGCCGGGACTGCCCACATTCCAGTGCGAAGCTAGAATTTTTGCTCAGTATGGGCGGAACATTACAACAAAAGAGATAGTTTGAAAAAAAATAAACACTAAATATAGCCATAAATATTATATATTGCTCATATAAAAAGATTCAAACCTTGGAGCTTTCCAAAGGACAATCACGTTCCTTAGCTTGCCAACTAAACTAATTATCTTTTGTTAAATTTATTTGTTTTATTATACTTATACTAAACCTGAACTATATATATACATATATATACAAGGATTATATAGTATTGGAGTGGGGGTGGGGGTGGGGGCCGCAGCTGCCCCCACTGTAGCTCCGCCCTGCCCTCATTGCCCCTTGGATCTGCGCCTGTGTAGCCCCTATTACTATACAATGTTTCAATGTTGGGCGACGGCTTGATGGTTTAGTATTCTACCATAGAAATGTGGAGTTATTTGTTACGCAAGTATAAATTAAAGAAATAAATTACGAATCATACATTTTTGTATAGCGATAAACGCTTGATTTTAACAGTTGTGTAGGGTTTTCCTAAGCTAAAGGTTTGGGTTTATGCATGCAGGCATTGTTATGGTGGTGAATCATGCAAGTGCCCAAGAAATGAAACCTTGCACTCTAGAGTGTGACACTCGAGCAGAGTATATGGTCTGCCCCTATATGAAGGGAAAGACAAAGGTAAAGCAAGTTGCAGGTTCACTTTGTATGAACTGTTGCGGAGCTGAGAATCTGGGCTGCATACTCTTCGATCAAAATGACACTCCCTATTGCCATGAGGAGGACCGCTCGTTTTTCCGTAAGATGGCAACCATGGTTTAGATCCGGCACCGGCACCGGCACCGGCACCGGCGGTCGGTCCAATAAAACGCAAACGTCAAGTTTGCTCTATGTACTGCATCTATCTTTGAATAATTAGGATCGGAGATTATTAGGCGGCCTACGTACGCCATCTCCGATCCTTTGTTTGTACTGATCTGAGCTTTTGCCGAAGTTAATGAAGGAAAGTGGTGGAATTAATTAACCTGGACTCAAATTAACTAAATCCGATTAATTAAAGATAGTAGAATGTAATGCTTGAAAGGGACAAAATAGCTTGTTTTACACTTTGCCTCCCCCCATAACCGGTCCGTGCGAATCGGGTGCCCTTACTCGAGGCGGGTGATTACCATCCTGCTTGGAATAAAAAAAAAAAAAAAAAAAAAAAATACTTTGAAGTCAATCGTATTAACTAATTGGAAATGATTTGTTGACAAAGATGATATTCAAATAATTCAAAAAATTGAAGCTTGAAACTACTCAATAATATCTATGGACTACATCATAATTGTTCAATTTAAAGGTAAATCATATTTCTTTATTAAAACGATTTAAAATGTATAATTTTTTACTGCCTTATCTAATATTATTCATTAAATAAATTAAGAATTTCTCTATTCACAATAAATCATTCAATAATAATGGTTGAACCAAAAGTAACTCCAGTAGAATACCTAAAGGATTTGTATGTCAATGTAAGACATGCAATAGAATATCGTAACACATTTTGACACATTGAAAAGATGCTTACACTACAACAATACTACAATCATTCTTGCAAATTCACAAAATGAAAAAGAAATTTCAAAAATAGCCATTGTATAGATTCCCGTCCCTCCTTTTATATATATATATATATTGGTGATAATGAATCAAAATCGATTTAATATCCCAAAAATAATATTTATATATACACACGAAAATATATATATAATATTATTGGATATATATCCGAAATATATATATACACACACATATATATAAATCGGATCCAAAGGTTATATATACGTATATATCTACAAAAAGATATACCAATATACATCAACCAAAATTGGAGCTTATAATCCTCAGATTATAATTCCAATCCAACAAGAAAGAAGAAGGGATTTTTGCTTAGAGCATAATCCAAAACAAGAAAGAAGGAGAAGGAAGAAAGAAGAAAGTACGAGTTCGGCGAAGTGCCTTTTTCCTTAAAACCTTATTTGCCACCTCCCAAGAGTGCTAGGAGCGTTGTGGCCTAGGCTTCCCAGGATAAAACGTACAACGGTTCGACGTTTGAGCACCCAAACGACCCGGCGAACAAGAGCACGGGCAGAACACAGCTTCAAAAATGGAGTAGGAGCAGAGTTTTGAGAAGAAAAGTAGAATTTCTTTGTGTGTGTTCCTGTGTTGCTTCTCACTTTCTCACTATCACTTTTTTCAAAAAGGTTGCTCCCACAACATGTTTATATAGGAGATTGGTACTAAATAGCATCATCATGACACATTAACCAACATAAATTCAATTTAATAATTGAATTATAACGTTTGAAATAGTCGTACTTATTATCGAAATAATATCAACGGTCACGAAATTAATATCCAATTAATTCGTACCGACCATAACGACCCGTTTCAAAAATATCTGAGTGACCGAGAAGTCCGTACAAACTCGAAAATTTAACAAATTGAGACCAGAAATGTAACACCCCGAAATTTTAAAACTTTTGAAACTTATATAATAAAGGTAAATTCTCATTAAATCCCAAAACATAGTGCAGTAGAGTACGGTGTGCTATGCCACACCTGAGCTAGAGAACTCAGGTGCACAGGCTAACTAACTAATATCCTCAATAATGTGAATACATAAGCATGACACGCAGGCCGAAAGAGAAACTATCTACTCTACGCTCCAAATCTCTAGCGCGCTCCAGTGTCTACTCCTCTGTGCCTGAAAGTCAAATATATCTGTTCAGCGAGAGATGCTGGTAACCCACTCCAACGCGTTGAAATACATTATATATATATATATATATATATATATATATATATATATATATATATTATATATATATATATATATATATATATATATATATATATATATATATATATATATATATATATATATATATATATAAATATATATATATATATATATATATATATATATATATACGAAAAGTCATTTTGAAACAGGAAGATATATACTTAGGAGACGCTAGTTTTTAAAACCAGGAATAGACTCGACAAATAGGGATAAGCACATTCAACAGTCATAACCGAGCATATAAAGATACTAGCATATATCCTATGGTCACAGATTCACTTCATCTCATTCAAATCCTCATTCCAACTCGTATCTCATCACACACAAGCACACTTTGGTGGCGCCACAGGACCAATCGCATGCCCATACATGAGGGTCAGCGCATAAAGCTCTGACACAGCCCCGCAGCACCCTGCCTCGTATCGCAACACGAAGGGGTCGATCGCAACCGACCGATGAACCGCAGCTCATCATAATGTTTGATCGCAACCAAACAGTGGACCGCAGCCCAAGAGTAGTCATCTGACCGCAGCCAGGAATATGAACCGCAGCTCATGTAAAACGTTTGATCGCAACCAAACAGTGGACCGCAGCCCGAGAGTGTAATTCTTACCGCAGCCAGCTTCTGAACCGCAGCTCAGGAATAACCAATTTGATTGCAACCAAATTGGGGTATCATGCATACATAACACATAGCAAGCACATGCAACCAAATTGGGGTATCATGCATACATAACACATAGCAAGCACATGCAACCCACATTAACACCTTGGGAAAAAGGGGAGAAAACGTATAACGAAACCTATGCGTGGTCATCCACATACTAGGAATAATCCTAAGGGGTTCATACTTCTTTCACCTAGGCCAACGGGATACCAATTCCACTAGCATGCAACATATATACATATATAAGACTCGTTTATCCTACGAATGGTACCCGAAACATCAAACTAGACTTTAGGCACGATAAACGGGATCCGTTGGGACACCACGGGGGTCGGGGAAACATCAAACGGGGAAGCCGGAGTCCCAAGTTGGGATAATTTCCAGCGGGTAGCCGGTGGGTGGTGGACCACCCGTCGGCGTCAGGTCTCCAGGCAGCGGGTGCCCGGCGGGCAGTCCCCTGTCCGCCGGCTGCCCGCTGCCGGCGACGTCTCTCTCGGGCAGCGGGTAGGTGGTGGGTCCCCCTACCCCCACCTACACCCCACTGACTCTTTATCAAAATAAACGTCCCGGGATCCGTTGTGGAACCCGAAGCCATGCTTAGACACTTTTAAACGCAATTGATGACACCACGTAGACAATTAATGGATCAAAAGCAAGAATCATATAGCACATAACCTTTCATGACTTCTAAACATAATCAACGCCCGAACATGCGAAATCCCACCCAATTATATCAAGAATAACACAATACGAAATTCCCAATTTTATCCTAGGGCTCTAATCATATTCAAACCAATAAAACCATAGTTCATCTTTTAATCATCTAAACATCAAGATTCATCAAGAACATCATATAATCATCAAGAACCTCTCAATACCATCAAGATCATCAAGATCACACATAAAATTATCTCACAATCATCAAGAACATATCATCAATATCATAAACGATTCATCAAGATACGAATATCGAGAGGAGGCCAAAGAAGATAATTATAGCAAGGAAAATAGGTTTTGTTGAGACATGGGTTACCTCTTAGCCTTAATTAATTTCCTTGGCTATGAAGGGTCTTTCTTTAAGATTCCTTCTTCCTTGATTCCTCCTAGGGGGATTCTTGGAACTTCTTGTGTGGTGAGAGATTATTTGTGGTGTGGGTTCTAGGTGCTTCCTATGCCCCCTATTTATATACCTAAGAGTCCCTAATTAGGGTTAGTTCTATTCCTTCTAGAACTAGGGGATTGGGTTTAGGGATAAGGGTCCATGGACTATGGTGAGCCTTTTCTTAATTAATTGTTGGAATTTAGTCATTTCTTTTGGTTAATTGATTAAATGATTAATTGGTTTTAGGGGCCGTAACACGGGGTGTTACAAGAAACCACACCCGAGTGGTCCGCAAGCACCGAAACGGTGCATCACGAATCAATGCATATAGCATTGGCTCGTGCTAGAAGCACCAAATTGGTGCTGCACGAAAGGAATCACACGAAAGGAGTCCAAGAAACCAAAGTATGAATTTGTGCTCAAAAGCACGAAACTTTAGTTTAAATCCCAATTCACTATTTTAAGCTTTCCAAAGCTTAATCATATTAAGCCTATCCCTTCGTGATACACCATCACAGCTAATTCTTTAATTAGCTATCAAGCTTAAAACCTTGTACATTTCGGGTACAACGAATCACAAAAATTACTAATTTAATTAGCAACTATCTTAAGATTTTGACTTCTCTCAAATAGGTTCACTATGAGAATTAATTTCTCATTCACCTATTACTCATTTTGGGCGTACATTATATCAAATTCTTCGCCTCACTACGAAGAACCTGAATCCACATTAACCCGACCCAAATCGGAAGTGAATCCCACATATATTTGTACCACAAAATAATCACTCAAAATGCCATTTTAATACTATTTTTCCAACAATATATATATATATATATATATATATATATATATATATATATATATATATATATATATATATATATATATATATATATATATATATATTTCTAATCTCGTTGTTTTAAAGTTTGTGCGTGGTAGATGTAGACCTTATAGAGACATTTAGCATTGTTCATAAAATTAGTTTTAAAATTTCTAAAATTATTTTGTAATGTTACTAAGATAAAATTATGTTTTGAAATATTATTTTTCATTGTTAAATTAGATAAAATAAAAGACATATTAGACTCTGTTTGCATTGGTACACCTAGTTGAAAAGTTAGCTAAAAAACTAGTAGCTAATGAGCTAATTAATTAAAATTAAAGTGTTTGGTAAAATTATTTGTTGAATTAGCTGATAAGTATAAAAAGGCATAAGGATAAATTAAGATATTATGATTTTAATTAATGAATTGTAGATGGTGTTATTTTGGTAAATTAATAAAGATAAAGGCCCTGATTGGTAAATGGTTGTTAGCAGTTAGTTGATTGGGTTAATTAGAGGGTATAACTAGTTGATAACATTAACTAGTTGTAGAAAGGTATTTGGTAAATTAGCTGTTA